GAAACTTCTGACTGCGTCCTTCGCGCCTGCGCTCCTCCGCTCGTTCGTTCTCTTCCTTTTTTTCTTTCCTTCTTCTCTTCTCTTCTTCTCTTCTCTTCTCTGTCTCTCTCTCTCTCTCCCCCTCCCTCCCTCATTCCGTCATTACTTTAACAGGCGGTGACTTGCCCCTGCCACGGTCCTGGAAGTGCAGCGGGCACAGAAAGTCGCGCAGAGGAAATGCGGGCTGCGGGCGTGGAGGGGCCGCCCCGGGGGCGAGCTGAGACCTGGCAGCGGAGCGGGGCGGGACGAGCAGACGCAGAGCCCGGCCCCCAGGGAGCGGGGGGGCGGCGCGGCCACCTGCCCCTCGGGGCTCCCCACCTCCCTCCCAGCCGGGGACTGAATTGGAGACTGGACGGGGCGCGCAGCCCGAGCGCAGGGAAGCCCCAGCCACTGAAGGACTTGGGTCGGCCTGGGGCAGGGAGGGCCCAGGACTCACCCTGGGGTGGGCGCGCTCCGGGAGCTCTAGGGGAGGCCCACCTGGGGCAGGCCCACCTGGGAGAGGACCCCCGGGGAGAGGCCCACCTGGGAGAGTGGAATTCCACCCGGGAGAGGGCCACCATACCTACATGGGATCAAATAAGCTGCCTTGACATAGTTTTGAAACCTGAACATCATGTTTCTCAGGCTCCTGGAACCTCACCCCGTCTTGAAGTTGGCATCCTCAGATCCCTGCTAGATGACCATATTCCTTCCCAAAGATAGTTCTCAAATGGGCCTTTGTTAGTAAAGACACTCCACACATGGGTACAGCCTCGATAAAATATTTTACCCCGCAGAGAAAGTATCTCCAAACATAATGTAGTAAAAGATTTCCCAAATCCAAGGGCATTAAATATTAAAACTCAGTTTTCTAGTTACACATTAGCCTTAAATATCAAGAATGTAACACAAAATTATCACAGAACGCAGGAAAAGGAGATGAGAAAGGCCGCAGCTGGGCAGCTAGGTGGGTCAGGGCACAGGGCAGGGTCCGAAAGGGTCCCCAGCACAGAAGCATCTGTCCCCGTGGAGTGGGGGGCACCACCCTCCTGGCACGTGGATGTGTGCAGCAACCCGGCACTGCTACGGACCAGTAGTCCAGGCATTCTTATGGAGGCTCCATCAGATCATGGTGGATGATGCCTGGAGGAGGGTGGGTGCAGGGTTGAGAGCTGCAGGTGCTAATCCTGGCTGGTCTCTCTGGTGACCGGCCCCCCTCCAGGAGCCACCAAGCCTCACCTCATTTGAACAAAAGAATCTGCTGCCATCACCCAGGAAATTCTGAGGGTTTTTGGAGCCCTGTGCTGGGTCTTGGGAGCAGAGACTGGATCTATTCATTTCATGTTTTGTCGCCCCATCTTGCCAGGTAGAGACGGTGTCTGTGTCTGGGTTCCCAGGCTGGACCCCAGATGCCTGCTGTATATGTGCCCGCTGGCATTGCCATCACGGGGCACTCTCTCAGGCGGCTTAAACAGCAGGACAGGAGGCGGGAAGGCCAAGATGAAGGTGCAGCCGGAGCTGGTTCCTCGGAAGGCACCCCGCGTGGCCGTATGTGGTTGTCGTCTGTTTCTTGGTGTCCAAATGTGCCCATCTTATATGGACACCAGCCATGGGGTGTAGGGCCCACCCTGAGACCTCCCGTTAAACAGATCACCTCCGTGAAGACCCTGTCTCTAAATAAGGTCACATCCTGAGGTTGTGAGACTAGGACTCCAGCATGAGAGTTTCAGGGGGACACAGTTCAACCCACGACACTTGCTTAACCAGAAGGTGGTGAGAATTCTGAACATTTGTAATTTCACCAGGTGAAAGCCAGGAAGATGGTTGAATTGTTGTTTAAAACATCTCGGAATATATACATGAGCAGAACAGAAGTTAAAGACAGAGTTTCTTCCAGCACAAGCGAGGCCAGTAAGCAAATCCCACTGGTGTGTATGCACTTAAAAGAGAACTTAGTTGAAATCGGCCTGGAATCCCAGCTCCCAGGGACAGGCAAGCAGAAGCTGGGGGCAGGAGGGACGTGGTGATGTGCGGGGTCCTGGCTCTCCCCGCCGCCGCTCAGAAGAGCAAGGTGCCACCCTCCCCTAGGGGAGCTAGAGAAGGGGGTGGGTGGAGTTGGGGAGGCATGGAGGGTCCCTGGTAGCGGGGTGCTGGCAAGCAGGCTCTCTAGTGAAGTGCGAAAATGAAGCCCCTGGTTGGGGGCGTTTGCACATCCACCACTGCTGTTTAAACTGCCCAATGCGCAGCACTGGCTCACAAAGCTGCACATCTCACAATGGCCAGGTGGAGCCCAGCCCCGGCTTGGTGACCCCTCCAGAAAGGTGGGGTCCTGGGGACCCCAAAGTCAGCTGGAAGCCGACCCACACCGCTGTCCCAGGGGCCTGTCCTGTTCTCACTCTGCCTGGCTGGCGTCTGGCCCAGCAGTGCTTTGCGGCATCGGTTTCACTTTGGGGCCAGTCAGTGCCGGCACGGCTACTTTGCCCACGGCTTGAGAATCCAAATGTGGAGTCTGGGAAAGGGGGCTGGGCTGGGATCCCCACGTGTGAGGGCCGACTGAGCCTGGCCCTGCAGGATAATGTTGCCCAGGGAACCAGGAGGAGCTGACCCCCAATACACCTCTGTGTTGGGCCACGCAGTGGTGAAGGCCACGGGGTGGCCATCCAGCTACGGTTGGTGGAACCCCAGAGCCCACTAGGGGAGGGCGTGGTGAGTGCATGTGTGTGACTGTGAGAATGTCAGCAGGAGGGGGAGTGGGTGTGAACGTGTGGCTGGGCTAAGTGTGTGCCATGTGTACACAAGAGTGCGTGTGTATAGTGTGTGACATGTAAGCATGATCGTGTGTGTGACCCTGTGTGAGTGTGCATGTGTGTGCACGTGTGGCCCTCCCCTGTGGAGGCACAGGGGAACGGATCTCTAATCCACAGACATCACTGACGACCTGTGCAGGGCCGGGCTCTGGGGATCAGCAGAGAACAAAAGGGACAGAAAGCACTGCCCGGGGGACAAAGACCACACTGTGGGGTCCCGCGGCTGGGGGGGCGGGGCCTGATGTGTTCGGGGAAAGCAGCTCCACCCCCCAGGAAAGCAGGAGGATCAGAAGAGGGTCTCCTCACCCCCACAGGCACCTTTCCCGATGGGACAGCCCTGAATGTGGAACATATCAGCAACCCGGCAGCCAAGTTCCGCAGTTTCCAGGACGATGCCAGAGGGTGGTGTGCACACGCCCCTGAAAAGACGGAGAGGAGAACATCCGCCATCATCCCCAACAGCCCAGCACTCAGCACCCCAGGCTGTCATCCCCAACAGGCCTGCACCCAGCACTCAGGATCCCAGGATCCCAGGATCCCAGCACCCCAGCATCTCAGCATCCCAGCCTCCATGTATCCCAGCACCCCAGCACCCCAGCATCTCAGCATCCCAGCCTCCATGTATCCCAGCACCCCAGCATCCCACCACCCCAGCATCCCACCACCCCCGGCACCCCCAGCATCCCAAGATCCCAGGAACCCAGCATTGCTGCATCCCAGCACCTAACCTGGGGTCCCACATTTTTATCTGATGAATCTGCAGCTCTTAATTAATGCTTCTACCTGCCTTCCCTCTGCCCTCTGCAGACACTGTGCACAGGTGATGTGTACGTGTATATTCTTTTTTGGTTCACAGAAATGGCAGTTGCATCGTACCCTGTTTAGCATCATGGTTTCCAGCCAACTATCCATCCATTCACTCGAAGATATTTTTGAGTCTTCCTGTGTCATTAGAGCAGAGCCTCGTTCTGAACTCTGGGTCCAGCAGGCCCCACTGCGGAGGCTGCTGCAGCTCACTGTGTGCTTGGACAGTGGCAGCACTCTCTTCTCTGAGGCCTCGCTCTTCAACGTTTTGTAAGACTGTATTTGCATGTTTATTTTGATGTAAATGCTGAAACATCTGGTCTAGTTTAAAAAATAAACACAAAACACAGCCAAAAGCACACTGTTGGCATTTTCTCCAGTACAGGTTGATTTAAAGAGAACCGGCGTAAGACGGTGTATCTTCTGATCCAGCCGTGATGGGCTTTCTCACTCGCTTGCCTTCCGTGTGCGTCTGTTTGCTAATACTAAGAATATGCGCCTCGATATTGATATGGAAAGTGATTCTGTGATTCTTTTCAAACAAAGAATGTGGAAGCTTGATCTTTCCTTCTGTGCCCCTGGACTGGTTCATAGCATTGTAATGACATGTTCCTTAAGGTTTGCGAGAACTTGTAAGGAGGACTTTTCTTTCTCATTTGGAGCAAGTGTGTGTATGTATGCATGTGTGTGGGGGTATGTTTATTTGTGTATGCACATGCTGCATATATGTGTAAAGCACATGTGTCTATATGAATGTGTGAGCAGGTATATATGTGTGTATATGTATATGTGTGTTGTCTTCATGTGAATGTTTATGTGTGCATGTGTAAATGTGTGTAAGTACATGTAGGCATGTGCGTTGTGTGGCCATGTGTGTAAATGTGTATTGTGTGTGCATGTGTCTATGTGTGTACACATGGATGTGTGTAAGCATATGTATGCATGAGTGTTCATGTGGATGTATATGTGTAGATGGAGATATGTGTATATGTGTGAGCATATGTACCCATATGTAAGCATGTTCATGTGTGCATTTGTGTGGATATGGATGTATATGTGTATACGTGCACTGTGTATCTATGTGCATGTGTGTAGGTGCATGTGTGCATGTATATGTGTACAAGTGTGTGTTCATGTAACCACACATATGTATATGTGTTTATTTGGGTGTGCATGTGTACATATATGTAAGCACATGCATGTGTGTGTATATGTGCAGGTGTGTGAAGAGATCCAGCTCACACTTTGTGGTGTAAGGATCATTTTGAGCTGATGGCGTTTGGGGATCTACAGTGCAGGAGGGTGACTGGTGTGGCTCCTTCCTCCGACGTGAGTGTGGGTGGGTGACTGGCGTGGCTCTCTAATGGCAGCGTCTACTTCTCCTGTGGTAATTGGCTCCTCCAAAATCAATTTGATAATATTTTCCTTAAAAAGCATTCATTTCATCCAGATTTCAATATGCATAGTGTTGAACAAAGTAGTCTTGTCATAGTTGTTTTTCATTCACTCTGCATCTGGGCTATTTTCTGATGCTCATTTCTGATTTTACATTTTTTTTTTTTTTTGGTTAGGTTTGTTGATAGTTTCTGTATTTTATTGTTTTCTTTTTTTTAAAGAACCAGCTTTGGTGCCTATTAACTGATCCTATCATTTCCTGCTTTTCAAACCATTAATTTCTTCTTTACTCCTTAGAAAGTTGTTGATGAAAATAATCAAACTCTGTAAAATATTTAAAGAGATTTATTCTGATCCAAATATGAGTGGCCAATGGCCCTGTGACATAGCCTTCGGGAGTTCCTGAGAACACGTGTCTGTGGTGGTCAGGCCACGCTTGGTTGCTTGGTTTTATATCTTTAAGGGCGACGTGAGACATCAGTCAACACATGTAAGACGTACATTGTCTCCGTCTGGAAAGCGGGGACAACTGGAAGTGGGGGGCTTCCAGGTCATAGGTAGATTCAAGGATTTTCTGATTGGCAATTGGTTGAGTCAAGTTATTGTCTAAAGACTTAGAAAGAAATGTCT